TAAATAACACTCTGTTGGGTTTACATCAGAACAACTTCCATAGCACTCGAGCGTTCTATATTCCTGCTTCTCGAAACCCAGAGCCTATTTTCTTGAGTCGCAGCTTGAAGAAGCTTCACCAGAGCTCCTCTCTCTCTCTCTCACGCCTCCACCTCACTCTGCCTTATTATTCATATGTTGTCTTCGACCATTTACGTCAGATAAATTTGGCGTTATGACTTGATGACGTATTTTGAGCGGTAGAGGAAGCTCTTCCGCTTGATGGATGAGGGTGAAATGCTTAAGCCCTTTCGTCCTTGCTCTGATTTTCATTTTCTTTTTCTTGTTTCCATTATTGTATTGATTATTCTGATTTAAAAGATCAAATTTTTTGCGCAATTAAATTCACAAAAAAATCAACTTTATGACCGATCACAACATTGATTTAAGGAATTTATCAGTAAGGATATTAAGGAAATAATTCTTCTACACAATGTGTTCATATATTTGTTTGTTCTCTGAACATCATAATTAAAATAAGGAGATATAAAAACGGAACCTCAGAAAACCAGTCTAAAATGACATCAAAAGAATTCAGACGGTAATTCCAACTAAATATAAACAATCCTCATTGGCTCCACCTCAATTCACTTCATTGCAATTAAATCATTATAAACTGTAATCGCAGAAATCGGCTCCATGGATCACCCGAACTCAGATCCATAGGTTCCTATCAGCAAGCGAAACATGAAATCGCTCTTGGTCCAATCATAGCATCGCTTATCATCGCCATTTTCGGCTATCAGCGACGTGGCATCGGACCTCAAAAAACAAACTTGAATATTCTTCAAAAAAATTTATAAACAAAACCTCAGGGACCCGTTACAAATCACCCACACAGCAGAGCACCGTATGCCCGATGATCCCGACCAATCTGCGGCGCCCAATGAGAGCGAATCGGGAGAAGATTCGTATCAAAGGGACCGTGATTGGGGGCAACCGGGACCACCAGACTTCCGGGAGCCGCTGCTGCTGATTAAAAGTGTCATACGGCACTTCCTATTCTTGGGATTTCTTCCTCATCGGCAAAATCTCAACACTCTTTCCACCATTATCGTTTATGAAATCAAAAACAGAGAAATATTGCTACTAATCTAATAACTGCACAACATAAAGTTCATGTCTTGATTGAATTGAAGACAATATCTGTGGTGTTTCCGGGATCAAATGCCATTGAAGAACACCATTGATCAGGATAGCCACATAACTTGGATTTCGCGTCCGAGCCATTATACCAAGAGGAACTCATCATCCCCCAGAATTGGTAATGGACGCCAATTTTCCACACAAACAAACAAACCCTAATTCCACTTTCGCCTTTTTCCTGCCAGCCTACCAAATCTTACATTCAACATCTCCAATCTTAAGTTATAATACGATTACCAAAGGGAAAAATGCTCAGTGGAAGGAGAAGTCGTTAATGAAAAGAGAGCTCACGGCAAGAACCTTTTTACAGGCTTTGTCCACTACTCTTCAACACTTTTCAAGTGCCTCATCTCATCATTGCATCCAATTCCCTTCTACCGTAATACTAGAAAGAATATAAAATAAAAAATTTGAATTTGGAACCAAAAAATACAAAGGCCTCAGTGTGTGTAACAATCAGATCATTGATCGTGAAATCTCACTGAAATCCGCTAAGATAATTAGAATTATCATCATAAGCCATTTGAATAACAAGAAGAAAGTGATAAGGGTTGTTTGGAAATAGCCTTTTCTCTCCCTCTATCTGTGAAAATAGATGAAGGGAAAAGGGCTTTTCCCAAAAAACCCTAATACTTCGATAGAAACATCTGACGATCAGAATATGAAACCAGATCGAACCCAAACAGGAAGGTTCAGATGAAGAGAACACCTTTGAATATGCGAAAAAGAGAGGTTTCATGAAAAGGATTACTCAGACAGCCAAGGGTTACTCTTCAACTTCTGGGAATGAGACCCAGATCTGAAACTCTAGTCCAAAACAATTGCTTCCTCACCGCATCCTTTTCATAAGAAAAAGTTGGGAAAAACGAAATTGAGAAGAAAAAGAACAAATTAATGTCGATGAGATAGAAGATGATTAAGAATTGATTTATCACAAATACCTCACTGATGAAATCAAATTAATATACAACCAAGAAGAATTTGAGAGACGATGAATGAAGAACGACTGGGTGATATATATAGAGGAAGACACAGAAGGAGCGTAGAGAAATTAGGGTTTCAACAAGATTGGTGAAATTAGGGTTAGGAGTTCTGTCAAAGGAAACTTTTTCCTTTTAGTTATAGCATTGAACTACCAAGATATGGGCCCTAAATGGGCTAGAGCGTTTGGGCCCATATCCATTTTCATATATTTTGCATTTTTTTATTTAAAAAAAAAAATAAGTGTGGAATGTTTTTTTCAGTCAAACTGAAATTTTAATTAAGATGCGATTTTATCATAAAATTTTTGAATTTTTAGATTTAATTATTTATAATTTATATAAAAATTTTAGATTTTTAGAATATTTTCATGTGTTTAAATTAAAATTCAAAAATAAATAAAAAAATTATTAGATTATTGATTTTAAAATTAGTAATTTCATGTTTAATAACAAAATAAATCCACCTGTCTTTGATTCATCATATTCTTTACATAAGCATTAGACGAATATTTCAAAATTTTTATTAACCATACTGTAATTTAATAGTTTATAAATAATATTTTTTTTGAATAAAAATTTATATATATCATTTGCATACCAATAATAATAATAATAATAATATACTCAACATTCAAATAAAATTACAGGGACGGAACTCACACTTTCATAAGAAACAAAAATGAAAAAACTGAGCAGACAAGAGATAATAATTTAATTTTTTTATGATTTTAATTTTTTTTTTTAAATATCAGTTTCATTTCATCTGTTATTTAAAAATTAATTTAGTATATTTCTAAAATAGGTAGAAGGATAAATTTTATAAATAAATTTATTGAAAGCAAACAGCAAACAAGGAAGCTCAAAAATATTGACAACAAAGAAAACAACACATCAAAAGAATTGATCCCATACAAATACACAACAAATCCCCTGCAACTACATAAATTAACACCCTGAAAACTAAAATCAAGATTGAATTTTTCTTTTTTTGTGGGGACGAGGGTGGTTGGGTTGATTTAGGCAGCGGCCACTGAACATTTTTTCCTTATGACACCGGCGGATCCGGTCTTGACATTGACTCCTCCCATTTTCTCCATGGACTTGGCAAACTCTGTAAAGAAGTCTTGAAGAGATCCCTTGAGCAGCTGGTTAATGTAAGAGAGGGTTGTGGAGGATGTTGTGAGAGCAGAATCAGATTGGAATAGACCTCTTCTCTTGATCACCTGTTTGTAATATCCGAGATCGAATGTTTTCCGACTTCCTGGGTCCATTTCCACTAGTGTGTTGTTGTCACTAAGGCTCAAACTTCTGCACTTAAAGGCCTTTAGATTGGCTGCATATTCGCTGTCAAGAGCAGGGTCTTGATCGCCTCTTCCGGTGAAGTTAAATAGCCGGTTGTTGAACGATGAGCAATGAGAAACTCCAATTGTATGAGCACCTAAAAATACACCAACATACTAATAAATTTTCTTCCGTACCAATTATTTTTTGACTCTTGTGTTTTAAAATTTGTCATGATTAATGTGTATATATTGCTTAATTAATAAAATATATAAATTTTTGGGAAACAACTGTAACTCTTTCGTGGGTTTTTACCGGAAAGTAAAACCAAGTCTTTGAGGTCAAGTCCTTGATTGGCGAAGAGTCTTTGCAGGGTGGTGAAGTTGCTGAATGGAGATGGGATATCATTTAAAGCTTCTGAGGAATTTGAGATCAACCCATCTCGTCTTCCCGTTGGAACTCTCCAAGACGGTCCTCCCTTTTGAAAATCAAATTAGGAACCCAACAAAGAATTCAAAGAAATGAAATTTGTTCTGCAAAGAAATTACTTACAGTGAGTACAACGGAATCTCTTGCGGCCAAAGCAATTATATCTGCGCAGGAGACAACCCCAGGACATTCAGCTTCCAGCAAACTCTTTATACTCTCAATGAAATTGAACCCTCTAAGTGTCAAATTTGGTGTAGCATCCTTCTCTGCGTTGCCTGAAGTTGAGTTTATAAGCACAGATCCATCACACCCCTTGCCACCCACATAACAAAAACACAAGAAGAGTTTCAGCACAGATCATGAGTTTTGAGCACTTCAAAGACAAAGTTAATTACTTACTCTGACAAAACAATCATGGAAATGCATTCTGATGAGCGGTGCAGCCAATGATGGAGCATTATGAATGTGCTTGTTGATGAAATCCTGGACAATCTTCTCAGCTTTTGGGCAAGTCCTAGCATAGTAGTTCATCTGCAACTGTGCTTCACCCGATGCTATTACTCCTAAGAAAACCAAGAAGACTAATAAGCCTGACCAATTCATCATCTTTACTTGATCACAGTAGACTAGGATTTTCTGGCTTTGAACGTTTGATACAACTGGTGTATATATATATGTGTGTGTGTGTTTATTTATATATAGAAACCTCGATTTTTGATGGATAACAAGACCTGAAAATGGACCACTTATCTAGCTAACATGTGCTACTTTTGTATGTTGTATGACGTATTTCTTCATTGAAAAAACAATACTCACAGACACGTATATATATATAGACAAGTATGTATTATCTAAAGTAAAAGGTTACTGTAAGGTTCCAAAGTAAGGTAGATTATTAAATATGATGATTAGTTATGCTCGTGTCTCCAACAAAAGTGAGCGTAATATTCAAACATCCTTTTTTGATCTGTAAAAATTGGCAATTTCCTTCTCTGACTTCTTAAATTAATCTTTTGCAGGATTAACAAGAAATTTAAGACGCGTAAACTTCTTAATTATTTGATTGGCAAAAACCGAGTTAATTAATTCCCATGCAATAATCATTTCTCAAACACTTCATGGAAATTCCTTACCGAAGAATAATTTGAATATTAAAGTATGACTTATAAATTATATGATATAGATTGTAATGTCTATCTGTATGTTTGTGTGTGTGTGTGTATATGTGCATGTTTTGTTGTGTATGAATGGATTTGGTGAAGATCTCTTCTTACAGTAGCAGACTAGTGAGGCAAATACAAAACTGGGTAAGTAGAATGAGTCAAATTATTTACCTGCTCTCTAATATGATATAATTGGGTAGGTTGTTTTACCAAGAAAAGCTATATTGATGAATTATATAGCTCGATTATATATATATACACACACCAAGGGATGTACGATAATTGGTTAGCTGCAGCCACTTCTCGTAGCCGACACTTGGAAAAAGTTATAAGCTATGATGCCTTCAGAATTTCTTTCTTTTTCTTTTTCTTTTAGAGGGGGAAAGAAAGAATAATGAACTGCAATGATTATTCTATATTTTCTTTACTTAAATTTTTATCCCCGTAAATTCTTTGAAGAAGCAAGAAGCCATTAATTAACAAGCTTTCTTCACTTGTTTTTGGTGGTCAAAGATATATGGCATTGGCTAGTTAGCTTCCATCCAAAGGCAAAAAACAAAAAAAAACAAAAGGTTGACACGTTTGCGTGTGTATATATATATACGCGTGTGTGTGTGTGTGTGTGTGTATTTACATGATGATCAGGGTGACCTACAATTTCTACGTGGAGAATTGATTTTGTTCGCATAATTTTATGAAAATTAAAATGAGGTTATTTAACTTAGGAAATTTAATATCGTGAATTATTTTTCTTTTTTAATTAAGAAACATTATAAATCTGTTGGGGTTTAGTTTAAATAACACATTAGTAAATTTTTAAATTAACATAATATATATAAATGTATGTATATGAGAAATTATATATGGAAATCAATTTTTTCTGTTTGTGTATGTATGTTTTTTTTTTTGTCTAAAAAGTTATTTTTATTATGGTATTATTGATTGTACATGTATTATATAATTTATAATTTATTTTAGAAAAGTTTAGAAAAATTAATAATTGGGAACTATACATGATGCGAGTGCTTAATTTGGAAGTAAGAATATTATTGTGTTTTTTGAACTTTTCTTTATAAGACAGAAAGTGAAAG